GTATATCTTAATTTTTATTTATATTTTATTTCATTTTTCTTTATGTTATTTCATTTTTATTATTATTACCTATATATATTTTTTTTATTAATCTACTGTACTTATTTGTTTCTTTTACTTTTAATTTTCTTTGTTTTCTGTTAATTAAACTTAATATTTATTTTATTAATTTTGGTCACTTTATCCTTTTTTTTTTTTTTTCGTGTGTGTTCTCTCTTTGTTTCAGATTTTCACTTTCAGAGCTGTTAGACTGTTAGGTCTAAATTTTGGAACAGAACTATGCTATCTGAAACATAACCTCAGATACGGTGAACGTAAAGTTACGTAATTTAACGATGCCCGGAAGTCAGATTCGATCCGCGGCCTGGTGGTGCACGGCAGGTGGTGGTCAAGGCCGGAGGAAGACAAAGCCCAGTGGTGCACGGCTGATTGGTGGATATCCGGAGAGATCCAAGGCGTTCGATTCAGGGCTTATTGGTGCACAAAATTGGTGGTGCACGACTGCGCTCCCCCGGGCCTTGCACTCCAAAGAGAGCTCCTCTTCCGGCAATGTAAGATACGAAAATTAAGCTTTTGGTCGCTCAACAGCCTCAACTCCATAGTGGATTTAACAGAAACATGGAGTAAATTCAAGTCCTCGAGCAGTCAAGCAATGAGTGGATTTCAAGTTTGCTTGCTTTGCTTATGACCAGGATATCATCCCGTTATCTCTTGTACAAAATTAACGCCCAAATTTCTGGGTCAAAAATCGCAAATTTCACATCTCCGATTTTTAGTCTCACCTTAAAGCTGACATTCTGACCTATCCAACAGTACCAAAACCATCTCTGTACATTGATTTATGCGTTCATGACAGATCATGAAAGGGAGGGGGTGGGGGAGTTCATTAACAAATAGAATAGGAGGAAATTAGCTGCTGAGCACTTTAAATAGAGTGTCTGCTTCAGCTGCAGCTCAGTTACCCGCCTGGCGTCGTATGAGGAGGTGTGCAACTGTGCATGCAGTCGTTCCCACCATCCTTGACTGGAATCAAGCAGCAGTAATGTTTAGTTTTGTATCCTTGCTATTGCGATGCGCGCGGGACTTTGTCGCGCTCTCTTGAACATTCACGCTTATTGTCATGGCAAACCTATCTTCTCCTTGAGTTTTGAAGCTACAGCAATGAGACATATACCATTCGATTTGTAAATGAAGTGTCTAGAAACCATCCGGTCATTTTTTTAAATTTTTTATGGTTTGGATTATATTTTGCAAAAAGGGGGGGTGGAGGGGAGAAAATTTGAAATTTTTAGGAAAATTTTGGAAAATCCACCCCTCCTCCCGAAAAAAATCATAATTCAAAAAAATGATCAGATGGATTTTAGATATGATCATTACAAATCAAATGATAGGGTAAAAGCGGTATATTCCGACACATTAAGGACGCATCGAGAAATGAAAAACTATAAAAAAAAATCGTATGCGTTACGTAAGTTCTGTTGCCTTCACATGACTCTCAAAACACTTCACTACGCGTCAGCAACGATGAAACGTCACAAAATGTTGCCATATTTATTAAAAAGCCTTTAGAATGGAAACCTACCAAATCCCTATATTCCGTCACTTTGTGTGGCAACATCCGACACGTGGTGAGTCGTATTGCGTCAGCGCTTCAAATTTAACTGATACGTATTACATGGAACTAAAACAAAGCTTAATATAAAGGAAAAACTAGAGAAGTGACGGAATTACCTACGATGTCGGAATATACCGCGTTTACCCTACGTGTCTCGACTCTCGATGTTGTAGCACAATATTTGTAGGAGGAGATAGATTTTTAAAGTAGGGTAAATGCGGTATATTCCGACACATTAAGGACGCATCGAGAAATGAAAAACTATAAAAAAACTGTATGCGTTACGTAAGTTCTGTTGCCTTCATTTGACTCTCAAAACACTTCACTACGCGTCAGCAACGATGAAACGTCACAAAATGTTGCCATATTTATTAAAAAGCCTTTAGAATGGAAACCTACCAAATCCCTATATTCCGTCACTGTGTGTGGCAATATTCGACACGTGGTGAGTCGTATTGCAACAGCGCTTCAAATTTAACTGATATGTAATGCCAACATCAACGTATTCAAATTCCGTTTGCTGTGTGAGCTGTATTGGGATACAACACAGCTTTGAATTAGAACACTAACGAATATTGAACTCTACTTAATTACGTTTTAATTAACAGCTATTAGGCTTTTAATTAAGCAAATTTCAATTTTTGTACAAAGCTTGGAACGATCTGTGTGTGTCCAATTCAAGTTGTGTCGAAATTAGTTTTGATGGGTCTAAATCCATCACTCAACTTAATCATCTATTAATTTATTTACGACTTGAAATCAGCAAATACAAGTTTACTTGAAGGATTCCTAATATATTCACAGACGTATTTAAAAGTCTCAAACCATAATATTCTTCCTATATAAACAGTTATTCACTATTTGGTAGACCAAGGTCAACTGTCAAATTTGACACATTTTTCGATGATTTCACCAGGTGGCATGCATTGTCTCTCTTTGGATCTCAATATTTTCCCACTAGATGGCCAAGACCTAGTGTTTTTGCAGTATTTCGACACGCAAATGTATGACATCACCATTTCAACCATCAATGAACGCATGGAACTAAAACAAAGCTTAATATAAAGGAAAAACTGGAGAAGTGACGGAATTACCTACGATGTTGGAATATACCGCGTTTACCCTACCCTCTTTTTTTGCTGTTTTCTATGAATTTTACGTTTTCTTTAATTTTTCCAAAAATTTACATGAACAAAAAGTTCTTAGATTTCTGTTTTAGGCTGCATATGTGTAAAGTTTCAAAGCAATCCGTTTGTAAATGAAAAAGTTTTCAAAAGAGGGAGACGGTCCCCTTAAATGATACAATTCAATTTAATAAAATGAATTTTTTTATTTAAAATTTTAATTAAAATACTTTAAATAAATTTTTTAAATATAATTTAAGTCGACACCATTTACCATGTGGTTGTGGTGTACCGGTATTAAAAAATAAAATTTAATTTAATAAAATTTAATTTAATTTATTTTTTAAATTTAATTTAATTCTACAGCTGCAGCTGGTGAGAATGAGCATTATAGGAATAAAGGTAGAATTGTCATCCATATATCCCAAATTGAATGACAATGAATGGATTTGGTAGGTATTAATCCCGTTTATATATAAGAATGAAATATTTCTTTTATTTCAGAATCTGTTCTTGAATACACTTGTAAAACTATCATAATACTTGCTGTTACTACCATAACCATAATACCTTACTACAGTACTTACATACCAAACCATAATATTATGGTTGCAATGTTGTACTTCTGGCAGCAGCATTGACATAGTCAACTGTAATTTGAAAAAGAGGCATTTGCTTGTTAGCTTACTGTGTGAATGTGTACCGTAAAACAGGGGTAATAAGGGACGGTTTAGGGTTTTTTTAATAACTTCTGACCTTAAACATTTCACAAATTAGTTTGGCCTAATTTTAAAGATCTTTGTGAGGGCTATCTTTGTAGATGATGTGAATGTAGAATAAATGACATTTTGTGATTTTTACATTTCTCCTTTATTGATGATATTACCATATCCATACATTATCTTATTATTTACCTATGTGATAATACTGTATCCATGGACATGCCATTGAGCTTTGACAATGACCTTGTCCACTGCAAGCTTCACATCAGCAGCCATGTAGCATTTCTTCTTTATCTGTGAGCTTACAGGACGGCTTGTAATTTTGCACCATTTTTATTGGGTCAAGTGAATTCACTACTATAACCAAAAAAGATCACAAAAACATACCTGAAACAGAAAGAAATATTTTAGTGACAACTATAATATTTTTGGAGAAATAAATCATAGTTTAGTTTAATTACTTCTCATTCTATGTTGCCCAGTGCACAATTCTATATAGGTATGACATTCTATGCACAATTTTGTGATGACCAATGATGCATTAATTTTTCATGTGAAATGGAACATTTTTTTCACTGAGCAAGGTAAATCTAATCAAATTTTTTTGTTGTTAATTTTTTTGTTAGCTGGAACCTTTGCTAATCGAGGTTCTATTGTAAATGCGTTTTTAGAAGTGTCTCTTATTAACCCAGGGGTTGTCCCTTATTACCCCATTTTTGCAGAAATGGCCACCATATTTTTTTGGAATGCAATACACAAATTTTGTCAATCACGTTTTAAGCCAACACCTGCATGCAACTTTAATGTGAGTAAAATTTTTTAATACTGAGAATATTTTTTGTTACAGAGCTTAGCAGGGGTACTTTTTCAAAATCTCACTTCACTTATCACACTTTTTTCAGCGATTTTTTTAGAGGTAGTAAATGTATGACTTCTTAACTTGCTTTATGCTACATAGATAGTAAAAATGTTGAACTTTGCACCACTATTTTTAGTTTTGCAATATTTTGATAAGTTTAGCTGCTACAACATTTCTACAAAATGTGGGACAACTGTCCCGATTTACCCCACCCATCCCTTATTACCCTGTTTGATGGTATGCCAAGACACACATGTTAGTGTATGGCCATGCTTCTATATTGAACTAATATTTGCTCATTTTACATATATTGCCAAGCCTATTTTGACAAATGAATCAGTGAAAAAGCTATGTTGACTCTGGCATACCTAGCTCATCTTCATGTCAATAGACCGAGTTTTGAGCTGCAACTACCTATCTGTATCTGTCATACTAATGAGGTGGTATCTTATTGTGACTGAAATCTTGTAGTTCTAAGGTGCCATATTTTGGTTGAATTTAAAAAGTCATACTGCTTTGTTTTGTCTACAATTATATGGGACAGAATTGAAGTATCAGAAATTTTTTCCCTCAAAAACTTCATTTGTGACAGGTAAAGTATATTGATATTTTCTAAATTTTTACACCTGACAGTATCCAAAATTCTGCCATAATGTGGGATACTCTTCCTCCCAGATGGTCTTCATTTCAGATTTAAACTTTTATGTGGATAAGTCGAAATTCAAGAATGTGATATTACAATACCCACTCAAAGTATGTGCAATTATTGAAAGATAGATATCTGTATTGTGATAGTAACTTGTTGCTCAATTGGTTGTTGCAAATTGGGACAGAGAATTTATTTTTGTTTTCTATTTTGAACTACATACAATACTTTTTGATTGAAGTGGAATTGTAAGGTGCAAATAATTGATCTTGACAATGGAGAAAACCCAGACTCTCTATCTTGATACGCCTGCGGCTTCCATTGCTCTGAGCCCTGATGAGAATTTGTTGGCTGTTGTTGGCATTCACTTGTTTAAAATATACACAGTCCATGATGATGGGCATCTAGAAGACTTCATCAATATTCGATCAACCAAAGCAGCAAATCTGAATTACTCATCCAGTGATGTTGAGTTTTGTCCAACTGATAACAAAGTTCTGGCTTCTGCATCAACAAATGGTTCAGTGGTTGTATGGAACATTACAAGCAGTGGTCGACCTAAACCAATTCATGTCTTCAAAGATCACTGCAGAGCTGTCAATAGAGTAAACTTCCACCCCACTGATCAGCATCTCATTTTGTCTGGCTCACAAGACGGTCAAATGAAATTGTTTGACTATCGCAGGCAAGAAAGTGTAGGAACTTTCAGCAGCAACTCTGAGAGTGTCAGGGACATCCAATTCAACCCACACATACCTCACTACTTTGCTGCTGGCACTGACAGCTGCAATGTCCAAGTAAGACTCATTCTCCTGTTAATATATCTGTAAACTATGAAACGTTGTTCAAATTTGCCCCATATTTTATTTCATTATAACAAAGTTACTCTTTAAAGCCTATAAACACCATTACATTGTTTTTTCATGGGTACCTCTGTTCAGTCTTGAGAAAATCATTATTGTTTTAGTTATGCAATAACATGTTACATATGTGCAGCCGAAATGAATTACTTTGTTGCAGCTGTGGGACATGAGGAGACCTGACAAGTATGAGCGCCTCATCACCGGTCACCGTGACCACGTGTTTGCTCTAGACTGGCATCCTGTAGATAGACATTGCATTGCCACAGCCAGCAGAGACTACACTATCAAGATCTGGGATGTTAGTGAACAGTCCTTGACTGTCACTTCTGCCATATCCACTGTTGCTGCTGTTGCAAGGGTTAAGTGGAGACCCAATCATTACTACCATCTTGCTAGGTAGGTAGATGATTTCTTAGAATTTGTTCTTAATAGGTACTTAGTGTCTTCATGTGGGGTTACAATGTTTATTGCTAATGTTCATTAGGATGATTTTTAAGCCTTGAGTAAATATGTAATAGTCTAAACAAAATTATATTTAATTTCCCCTTATTTGCATTCTTAAATCTGTGATATTTATTTTCAAGTAGATAAGGCGCAAATTTAAAATACAGATTACATATACTTGTCTCTTAAAAGTTTTATTTCAGCATTATAATGATTGACTGATGCTGTTTTGCAGCTGCTCACTCACTGTCGACAGCAGTGCCTTCATCTGGGACGTCGAGAGACCATTTGTGCCAATAGCTTCATTTGCATATCATCGAGAGAGCACTTCAGCTCTACAGTGGAGATCTAGCTCAGACTCCTTCCTCACTGTTTCAAAGGTAGTTGCAATCTGCTTATTTTTTCACACAAATTATATTTTTTTGCAGATACTTGAGAATTTATTTTTTCTTTTATTATGTATCAATAATAAATAATATGTTTTGGATAAATGATCTTGCATCAATTTCTGTTGCCAAATCTGCTTCTATCTTGCTTGTGTCTTTTCTTTTGGACATGCACAGTTATTTCATTCAATAAATTATAATTGCTCTGAAATTTGATGATGAAATAATGTGTGTGCAGGATGGCAGGCTGTTCCACCACTGCCTTAAAGATGCACAGTACCCCAGGCTGCGGGGCTGTCCCTTCCCCCTTGCAGTGAGTCCCCTGGGGCACATTGCCTGTGCTGCTCCTCTCAGAGCTGCCAACCGGGACAGAGCTCTGGCAGAGCGCTCGTCAAAAATTGAATTGAAAAGCAACAGCATCAGTCACAAGTCAGTCCTGACCTATTTTCTTTGCCTCAATAACTATTTTTCTACCTTTTTTGTTATTCTCTTTATTTTTTTTTTTTTTTATTCTCTTGTTCTCTTTACAATATTTTTCATTTCTATTGATTCTAATGCATTAATCAAGAATTATTCCATTGATAAATTTATGAATAATTTTGCCTGCACCAGGCGCCAGACATCAGTGACCAGTTCGCTCATTGGCACGTCAGCTCCATCTTCACCTGCCTCCCCTTTTGGTAATGAGCAATACTCTTAGTTATTCAGATACCAATAAATCGTACGAATTCGATAGGCTTGCTGTGCTGTCCATGTTCACTACCTTACATACTGCTTAAATTGGATGCTATTCAACTGCTGCTCAGCTGCATATAACTCATAGTCATAAGTTGAAATATAGTACTCTAAATTTGTTATTTATTACGTTTAGTTAATTATTGGTCCGCTTAAAAGTTTCAATAAAAGAGTAATGAATATGACTGCGTTCATGTTAGATATTCCCTATGCTTTGTTTCATCATTGCAGGTCCATCAAGTTTCAGCTCTTCTGAGAAAATTCTGACCCCTCTTCACCCAGCCACTCCCTCCCTCCCTCCAAACCCCAAGCATAACGAACACCTCCTCAACTTCCCTCCTCCTCACATGGGGATGAAGGACCTCGCCAACTTTGAGGACATTGGCCCCATACTCTCAGAGTTTTCCCTTCTGCGCTGCTCATCACATCCCCTCAGCTCCGGAGATGTAAGTCCACCAAACTCAGTCCACTTGTGACAGGAATTATACATTTATTAATGACCATAAATCACATCTCGGTCACCACGTTATCCATATAAGTTGAATTTACCAAAGCTAAATAATGTATTATTGTGAGACTATGCTCGCATCCTTAAGCGATGTGCTAGAATCGGTCTCGTCTCGGTATTGTTCGAAACCTTCGCCCGTTGCAAGGCACCGTGGTTTGGTGTTCCACGCTAATCTGTGCTTTGGGCCAATAACACGGAGACCTAAAAATTCAGATCCATAACGTGACTCTCACTTTCCATTGTCCCAAGAAACTGCCCCACCTATTAAATAGGTTTTTAAGTACATAAATGCGTGCTAGTCTTCATTGCGCTATGCTACACTAAGTGTTGAACAAATCCTGAAACAGTAAGTTGGTAACACAAGGGCTCGCCTCTCATATTGCTATGCCGTAAACCCAGGACTGGAATACGGATCGGTCGTGTGCGAACGCTCCCTCCAAGGCACCTGAGAGTCAAGGTTGGAATATGGACGAGGATGACGGAGGATGCTTCAGTGTGGACACTCTCAGGGACTACGCCATGAACTACATGACGGACGGTGCCAGCGACCGCGCGCTCGTCAGGAGCTGCGACCACAACGCGATGGTCGCGGCGCGCAACAAACGTCCTCATGTAAGATCTCTTAGTTTAGTGAGCATTTACACGCAGTCAAATTTAAAACTGGCCTTTTCCACTTATACCAAACATTATGCTAATGATGAGACCTTATATCAGCACACGAAATCTATACTAAATTGAAATAGCATAGTTCGCGTACATATGAGGGGCGTTCGTGAAATGATGTGAAGTGAGATGAGCAATGGAATTAATTAATGGCTGTCGTGGCTGTACTATGCAGCTTACCTCAATTGTAGCTATTTCTGCTGACCGTCGATACCAAGATAAAGATGGCCATTACAATTGACTGATGTTTAATTGAAAACTGATGGCTTTTGGACTGGGCTGTTGCAAATAAGATTAGTACGATACTTGAGACTCATGCTGAAGAGTTCATGAGCTTCCTTCATCTTAAGAAGCATGTTAATAAATATGACCCAATGTACGATTATTTAGTTTAACGGGCATAACAAATAACATTTGTGTCGTCAGGAAGCAGCTGCGTGGCAGATCCTCAAAGTGATCTTCGTGAGCGATTTAAGCCTGGAGGATTCCGTCCCTGATGCTGGTATGGCATTTATTCATTCCGGTATTATTTATTATGGTATTCAGCCTAGTCTGGTATATTTTAATTTGTTGGGGTGCTGGCAGCAGGATAATATGATCATTTTAGAGCAGTGGTTTCCATGCACGAGTATGGAAACTACTATATGAGATATGACATGCAAAATGCTTGTCATATCTTGTCATGCTTGTCAAATACAAGCGTTTTGCTTGTCATATCAGCAATGTTTTGTACACATATAGTAATTGCTTCAACTCATATTTATTATGTGCAGTTTTCCAGATTATTTCATTACTCATTCTCTGATCGCCACGCAATATTTTATTTCTCATGGTTGCTCTCTACGGCTGCTTCACTCCATGACCATGCCCTGCACTTGTGCCTCCACTTTATTCAGAACTGCTGCATTAAGCTCATGCCCTGATGTATTCTCCTTACCATAAAGGCTATTGGCTGTGTTGCTTAACGCTTTTTCTCGCTGTCATTAAACGGTTGCCACGCTTGTATGGATATGATCTACTTGCCGATATTCTGGTATAATATTTACGGATATTCTGGTAATATTTGCGCTTTATTTGCTTGGGTTGCTGTGCGTACAATGCCTCGTCTGCCTACCGCCTAATCCTGTAGCTACGTAGATAGATTTTAGGAGGTGCCGCCCCTGCCTTTCGCTGCTTGTTTGTTCTGTTGTGCATGCTTCTTTCTGTGTAATTTTTTATTCAAATTATAAGGAGATCGTTTCTTTTGCCATTATTGTTGATGGTTCTGTGATAAAATCGTAGAATCAAAGAACAATTGTTTACTTTGTACCAGCCAAAAGTAAATGCATTGATTTTTCTGTAACCGCAGTCGCCATCATGTGCTGTGTAGAATTATTTTGGTGCGATGAATATTTTGATTGTGATGTTACTGATCAATAAAATCAATAAAAAACACAAGCAAAGCTGCCAAATTCACAGCGCTCTTTCAAGATAATCGGTAATTTTATATATGATATAAACGCATGTTTATCAGACAATCTTTTAAGGAGTGGGCAGTTCCTCGCACATCGTACGGGTTTTGGGGTGCATGCAGATCATCTACAATATCTGAGGGTTTAATATCGATAGGAAAATCTGGCCTAGTTGATGGAATTCTTCATAAGTCTATTTATTCAATATGCTTGCATTGTATTGCTTGAATTCCGTTATCTTACATCAAAGGTAAAAAGTTTCTAACGCAACGGCGTTGAATATTGAATATTTATGACCATTGTTGTATGGAGTAATGACAGCTAGCGCCTCATATTCCATTCACCATCAACACCCGAGTCTTGATGACATGACAGTCATCAGATATGACGTGATAGCTGAAGTCATAATTTTTGTCTATTTTACTCGCATTACAATTCTGTTATTTTATTTTGTTTGCCAAGGCTTGAGCTTCACCTCTCCAGCCGCCGCTGCTGCCGGAGCTCACGAGAAGCTCGACTCGCGGGCCGGCGATGCGTGAGTGCATTTTAATTCAAGATCAAAAAATGCATAATTACATTAGTGCCCGCGCTATCTATTCTCTCGAATACATTTATTGTATGACGTGCTTTACAAAAAATACATAAAGTTTAAGTGGCGTTTGGCACGTTTTGCCTAGCAGCAAATTAACTCATAAGTTTTCTTCTAACGTGCAGGTACAAAGTTAAAGATGGCGGCGCTTCATCGTCCCCGGACAAAGCTTCGTCATCAATGCCGGGCCCGCCGCCGCACCGCCGACGTGCTGACGATGACCGCACCATCTTCCGGCACGAGGACGAGGACGGCAACAACGACGACAGCGACGAGGAAGACGAGGCCGAGGACCTGCCTGACGAGGGCGTCGCTCACAACTCAGGGTGCGCTTCTCTTTCTTGTTCTCTCGTCTGATCCTGCGGAACGTAGTGGCCCTTTATTGCTTGGATTTTTTTTTAATCTGGTTAATATCACGAGCCATGATGTTACTTCTACAATGTATTAACAAACTTCCTCTTGTCACAGAGACTTTCTTCATACTATTTCCCCTTGCTAGGCCTCTCACCTTCCCCCCTCTAAGCCTCCCCCACCCTCACCCTCTCTAAGCCTCCCCCCTCACTGCAGGTCATACGGCCTACGGGCACGCGACGTCCGTGGCTCGTATCTGAGCGACAGCGCCTACTTCGACTCGCTGTCCGCGCCCGTGCCCGACCGTCTGCCCGTGCCCACGGCATCGTCCCGACGGGCCACCCGTCGTCTCAACGACTTCCAGGAGCTCCGCAGAAAAATTGTATTTAAGGACCGACCTCTGAGCTCAAACGAGGAGCTCATGGAAATAAAAGACGAGGCTTTTGAGCCTAAGGCTTTATCTTCGTATAAAATTGAGGACCCGAACTTGCTAGGTGAAACTAACCTTGAACTCAACCATAGGGATGATGAATTCGACCTTCATGATCAACACCTGCACAACCACAACCAGGATGATGGACTCATCGGTCATGATCATGACGACCAACACCGCAACATGGACAGTGGTGGTGACAGCGGCGAGCAGGAGAGTGGCGGGAGTGATGGAAAATGCGTACTCGCTGTTACTATGCCCTTGTCTGTTGATACAAGCGCCATTCCTGCCTTACCAGATATAGATTTTTCTGATACCATTTTAGAGACGTTAAAGTACATGGCGTTAAGAGGTGACCTGGCTTCTTGTGTCACTGTCATATTGGTGGCAGGAGAACGAGTCAAGAACGTTGTGCCTGAAGACCTGCTGGAGCACTGGTTCCTTATGTACGTCGAGCTGCTCCAGAGACTCCGGTTATTTAACCAGGCTTGTGAAGTTATACAAAAAGCGCCTAAGAGTCTATCTAGAATACGTGAAATGAATCAGAACTCCACGAAGATATCAATGTTATGTCCGCACTGCTACCATCCTGTAGGAAAAAGACAGTTTACATGCGAGAAATGCCATCAGGTTGTGAATAAATGTAGTTGGTGTCACGAGTCTGTGCGAGGCTTGTACGTCTATTGTCAAGGCTGCTGCCATGGCGGTCATCTGCAGCATCTTTACAATTGGTTTAGAGACAACAATAACATCTACAAAAATCTGGAAGAAGCGCCTCACGAGGTTACCGTCACCTCGGACCAGGAGGATCCTCAGAACGGCGAGGTGTTCGACAACGCAACTATGACTCATATATCGTCAAACGTGACCTCTCCTGCCAAGCCCTCCAGCAATCCCATCACATCATCCACTCCTAGCACCATCTCCATGAGGCCGTTTTCATCATACTTCAATGGTTTAGGCAAGCATGCCTCAACCTTCACTTCGGGTCCAACTTCGAATTCCTCAAGCTTTTTCACTTCCCCAGTGGCAGCTGCTCCCCCACCTCCTCCACCTCCCCCACCAGCCTTCAACGGTAACCCCTTCATGGGCAACGTCGTGGGGACCAACGTATTTGCTTCCCCTCATCCTAACGGATATAACATCCCGAATTTCACAAAGATGGCCAACTTGGTTTGTCCCGCGGGTTGTGGCCACCTCTGTCAGTATATGTAATCCTTCTGCTCGTTGACAACCTTCCTCTGTAGGATGTTACGCGCACGAAGAGTCTTGGTTACGAGTTCGTATTATGGTTACCGTTTATTCTTATTCAGCGTTCTGGAAGAAGTCAATCTTATTACAGTTCCACGTTCCTATTGTCAATGACTGTGCAAGAAGAGACTAAATTCTGGTCGAATGCTGATGTTCTAATTATGCCTGGGGAACAATTTTGCTTTCAAGCAATTCTGTAATCCCAGTTCTGAGAGGCACTATGGGAAAAACATTGTTTTATTTACGGCGAGTTGTTTGGTAAAGTTGGGTTTCTGTTTCCGCTTCAGATTATTATGGTTTTTATGTTCCACCCATGCTTTTTTTAATGATTTTTCAACTTCACCCAAGTTAAAGGTATACCGAATCTTGTGCTTCATTTCGGTCATGACGTCTTTGACTACGCTAAAGTCACGACATTGTTCGCTACATGCCTGGCACTCGAACCCTTACTGACCACCATGCTACTTCCATCTCGGAGCCGATAGAGATGTCAGGGTCCACCATCTCGAACCGATGTGCTGTCATCTCGAACCGATGTGCTGTCATCTCGAACCGATGTGCAGTCATCTCGAGCCGACGTGCTGTCATCTCGAACCGATGTGCAGTCATCTCGAGCCGACGTGCTGTCATCTCGAACCGACGTGCTGTCATCTCGAACCGACGTGCTGTCATCTCAGAAAAATTGTTCGTAATACTGTGAATTTTTAGGAAGTAAGTGAACGTGAAAAGAATCTTGTGATTTGATTATTGCAGTGACTCTTCCAGCAAGCGAAGTCCGTGAAATATTCCGTGTTAATGAGATTATTCGTGCTTAAATCTGTTCTGCATCTGCAAATTGAGAATACAACTTTATTAGATCTTTCTTAAAATACTACCTTCACTGATATTGCGTTTTGCTTCCGTACTACAATAGTTCTACTGATGAATAGCTGAGTATCATGTATTCGATTAAACGCTCTTCACGTCATTACTTAGTCAGATGGCATCCATACGAGTCGAGTACGAGTGTATTTCGCGTTGTTCAGCGCGAAATACCCCCTAATCAAATGCGCCCAGTTGATTTGCCCGACTGCTAGCCCCTTACTACTGTTGCCTTGCAGTCCCGCTGAATTTGTTCGGTTGTTATTCGGCGCATATTCTAGGTTATGAATGCCGTCTATTATGACTGCGGTTCTCTCGACGTTCGTGTTGTTAGCTGCATGATGATGCGATGTGTAGACTGTAGAGGCTTCACATTATAGAAAAAATCTGGGGTGTAGCTGGATGAGAGGCAATGGAGTTGGTGTCTTTAGGTCGACATTTTCCTTTCAGGCGACCACTAAACCCCATGGAACGAATTTTGTATTCAAAATGATTTAAATAAAATGTCGAAAAAAACCCTAAGTCAACTATTGAGGTTCTTGAATCCGTAGATTGTTGGTTCACAAATGACTTCACTCGAGGGATACCATATTTGCCAGGACTGAATGATACTCTGGTGACGCGCGGTGTTGTTCATTGCCCTCCATTACTGATATTTCTGCGCAGTGTTTGTTTTTCCAAGGGCATATCTTATACCGAGGGGATGATGACTTCTCATGACGTTTCTCCTGTCCAGAAGTGATCACCTTCAAAGATGATCATATGGTGACCTAATTACAGGTGGTTAAGTAATGTTCCAGCAGTACTGCTTCATATGTGTGTAGGTTAAGCTTATGTGTCAAGTGTGAACGATGTTCCAATCAAGGCTGTGACAAAATACACTGAATTCAACTTTTTCATTCTTGTTTTTATTTCCTAAAGTAACAAATATCACAACAATCAACGTTGCCTCAACGAGCGTTACGTTGTATCTCAAGTAAATTGAGGTGGACGCTCCAGAACAACTGAGAATCTCGTATTGTGAGATATAAGGGAATACTTGGTCAAGCTTATTAGTAACATATCGGCTGACGTTGTGAAAAAATATGGATATTGATGGACATGTTTCGAAAATTCTTAAACAGCGACAAACTTTGTGAGAAATTTGTCTAAGCAAAGAAAGTTTTGACAACATCAATACTTCCGAGAACGTGAATGCTGACTCCTGAGAACTGCCAAAACGTTCTCTGCGATGCCTAGTGGTTCTCACAGACTTCACTGCAATTGCTAATGGTTCTCACAGACTTCACGGTAATTGCTAGTGGTTCCCACAGACTTCACGGCAATTGCTAGTGGTTCTCACAGACTTCACGGCAATTGCTAGTGGTTCTCACAGACTTCACGGCAATTGCTAATGGTTCTCACAGACTTCACTGCAAATGCTTGTGGTTCTCACAACAAAGCGGTGGCCATATGAAAGACAAGCGGTGGCCATGTGGACGGCAAACGGCAGCCATGTGGACGACAAGCGGCGGCCATGTGGACGGCAAGCGGCGGCCATGTGGACGACAAGCGGCGGCCATGTGGACGGCAAACGGCAGCCATGTGGACGACAAGCGGCGGCCATGTGGACGGCAAGCGGCGGCCACGTGGACGGCAAGCGGCGGCCATGTGGACGGCAAACGGCAGCCATGTGGACGACAAGCGGCGGCCATGTGGACGGCAAGCGGCGGCCACGTGGACGGCAAGCGGCGGCCATGTGGACGGCGAGCAGCGGCCATGTGGACGGCGAGCAGCGGCCATGTGGACGGCAAGCGGCGGCATTTCATAAGCGCTTCATGTATGCGGTGAAAGTCCGTATACACGGCGGCAGAACGACGCCGCGCTGCCGTGACACGATCGTCAGAAACTGACCTGCGATTTGTGCCAAAGTTTGAGCCGAAAGTACGAACGCACTAATTCTGATTACCCGGTCTCTTCACATTGTGTAGCATGGCGCTATCAGCGTTATTAGGCCGTTAGACCTGTCGCCGATTCTTAACATTGCAGAATACGTATTCACAGCTTGCAGCGGGTCTCAGACACGCAACTCACTGCTCAAATTTTCCTATGCTTGACCGCTCTGCCACCTCGCCGATTCTCACCAAAACTGTCGCAGGTAGCTGTGATCGAACACGCAACTCACTAATTTTGGTACTTTGACTATTACCACTGGGCACCCTGCCCCCATCTCAGGCTTTGAAAAACATGCGCCAGTATAACTGAATTATTTCAATGGCAGACAATTGAATACATTTCGGATCCAAGTAACAATATACTTGCAGCCACCGTAAAAACTTATCATTTCTATTGGCGAATTCAAATAAAACCCGTACCAAGGAGAAGGGCAATTTTAATTTGTTTTCAGTCCGGCAGCTGCCATTATTGAATAATTGAGGCATGGCATTAGTATCCTTCGCTCCTAATCGTTTTTCCTGCCTGAAATGTAGTGCCTCCTCTCCTTCATAATGTTATTCCTACCGAAATATGTTCACTACCAGGTTCGTGGATCGTTAACCACCAGCCACGGCCTTGGCTGTAGGATAGTCGGGATCCTGCATATGCATGCTGAGCTCGTCGACTATATATAGCCAGACGTCGCTCGTAACAGGTCATTTATCGCTCGTCGGTCGTGAGGCTAACACAAATGGTGCTATGAGCGTAATGGTGTGAAAATTAGTGCACGAAATAAAAATATTTGTCGGTGCAATTTCGATTTGTAAGCAATGGAGTAGCAGTAATATGAAAAACCGTTCTGCTCCTTGACCTTAAATATTCTGACATACATTTATTAGTTATCTTAAACTTACGACACATGCGCGGTTGCATGGCTAATGGAAAACCGAATAATCAGGAACTGTGACTCGTATTCGCAATGTAATGTGTGAAGAGTAACAACCTCGTATATTCTCTAGTGCTGTGAACGTTTGGTTAGTGTCATAAAGTGATCAAAGTTAATGACTTATTCTAAAAAATTAAATTCACTTTCGCTAATTCGGCAGCAAATCCCTAGCAACAAATTTTAGCTTACTTGTGTCACTGTCTCACCCCATCCCCCTCTCACCCCGTCTCCCCGTCACCCCGTCTCCCTCTCACCCCGTCCCCCTCTCACCCCGTCCCCCTCTCACCCCGTCTCCCTCTCATCCGTCTCCCTGTCACCCCATCTCCCTGTCACCCCGTCTCCCTGTCACCCCATCTCCCTCTCACCCCGTCTCCCTGTCACCCCGTCTCCCTGTCACCCCATCTCCCTCTCACCCCGTCTCCTCGCTAATGCTGTCTTCGGTAAACCAATGTGCCTCAAGTGAAGTCATTAGCCCTCCAATTAGACGCAAACGAGCCGACAAATTGTCGACGCCTTCAGGTTACGACACGAGATGAGCGAGCTTGTCGGTTGCTGTGGTGCGCGAGTCTCTCGGTGGCTGTGGTGCGCGAGTCTCTCGGTTGCTGTGGTGCGCGAGTCTCTCGGTTGCTGTGGTGCACGAGTCTCTCGGTTGCTGTGGTGCACGAGTCTCTCGGTGGCTGTGGTGCGCGAGTCTCTCGGTTGCTGTGGTGCGCGAGTCTCTCGGTTGCTGTGGTGCACGAGTCTCTCAGTTGCTGTGGTGCGCGAGTCTCTCGGTTGCTGCGATGCGCGATTCTCTCGGTAGCTGTGGTGCGCGAGTCTCTCGGTTGCTGTGGTGCGATTCTCTCGGTTGCTGCGGTGCGCCAGTCTCTCGGTTGCTGTGGTGCGTGAGTCTCTCGGTTGCTGTGGTGCGCGAGTCTCTCGGTTGCTGCGATGCGCGATTCTCTCGGTTGCTGTGGTGCGCGAGTCTCTCGGTTGCTGTGGTGCGATTCTCTCGGTTGCTGCGGTGCGTGAGTCTCTCGGTTGCTGTGGTGCGCGAGTCTCTCGGTTGCTGTGGTGCGCGAGTCTCTCGGTTGCTGTGGTGCGCGAGTCTCTCGGTTGCTGTGGTGCGTGAGTTTCTCAGTTGCTGTGGCGCGCGAACCATCAATTATGCGCGCGGTATCCTCGCAACTGTGCGGTGTTGCATGCCGCTCGCTTGAGCTCAACTAATCCATCACATCTCAGTAACGCTGAAGCCGTCATTCGGACGGTGACATCTTGCCAGTATCCAGTCCTAAAAACAAAAAAGACGATGACTTTGGAATAATGATCAGATGTTCTAATTGCTACTCTATTGTTTTGCGTCATATACAGTTTTACTTTACGATTCAAACTTTTTTACAAATTCTCACGGAATTCCCGCGTTGTCATTTAACATTCTAGTGAAAATATTCTCCGCAATTCCATACAAAATCCCCAAAATCACTTGCTTGAAACCAAATTTACAATAAATCATAAACACCATTCCTAATAGCCTCAGTACAAATTAACTTGAACAAGAGAAGCGTTTCCCCAGGCCCACCCTTGCTCTGCAGTTGAGTAACTCGGATGCAGAGGATCTGCGTTACTCTCACGCATGACTCGGCGGCGCTCGAGCGATCATGCGCTTACATGCGTTCGTACGATGCATGCGCGATGGTCACAGCAATGCATTTGCCGGTATATTTACATATTCAGGACTTGCGTATGAAATACATTCAATTTAGGACACACTATGATTCATATATTTAAATTGTTCATATATTTTGTTATTTCAGAAAGATAAGAACTTGAATCCCTATGTATGATCATTTGGAGTTTCTCATGCGATCGACTTCTAACCAGAACTTAGAATAGTTTATGTATTAATTTTATTTCGAAATTTCATCGCAATTTGTGCGCCGCAACTTGATCGGGCGGCGCATCAGGAGCAAGTTGAGGAAACTGAAGTCTGCTGCCCTGCGACACAACAGAATTTCATCACAAATGCTAGATCAGCGAGAAAATGCAGAAATAATTAAGGAATAGGCGCTGTTTTGCGAGGTTATGAAGAAAATTTTAGCTGTGAAATGAAACTCGTAAGTTTTGGATCGAAGAGAAAACAGCGAAGTTCTAAGTGTGAGATACAGGATGAAAAACTGGCGAAATTCCCTACCAAATCTCAACCAAGAAAAAATTCTGGCGCTGCATCACTTGATCCTGTGCAGCGTGCCCACCAAATGAACTCGACAGTCCATGAAAGAAACAGTGTACAAGGTTGCCCTGATAAGAATGAACAAAGAACAATGCCGTTCAAACTTCCAGTTCTAATTTCAATTTGCGTCAGAAGTGAAAGATGCCGTTCAAACGCTGAAGATGATCTAGGAAAAATCAATGCTTATAGCTCAAACGAAAGTGACGTTAATAAACGTTTTCACCATCTTCAGACAGTGAATTTCAGTTTCACGAGGCACAGTAAATGTTCAACGGCTGCGAAAGATTGCAAGTCTTGTAATCATTATACAGCGATGCCCGAGGAGCCAGTAAAATTCATTAAATTACGAAATGACGGCGAATGGAACAGTTTTGAGAAAACAGACAACAACGGCAAAGCTTTTAACCAGACCCGGGAAGGCGGAGGCAGCCAAAGCAGTGATGATCTTAGTGGCAAAAGTGACATGGATTGCGGGACTGAAGCTAATTTTGGTGACGAACTACGATACCCGAACTTCGAAAAATTCAAGATTAACAATTGTAATAACCACTGCAAGCTCGCCAATGTAACACAGAACAAGGATGATAAAATTGTTACATATTTCGATCTTACACAGCCTCCACTGACAACAGACAGCCGTTTGTACAACAACTTGAGTGATATTGGTTTGAACAGGAGACAGACAATCAACAGAACCAATAACGATTTGGTGACCGGCAGATCCAACAGAACATCAGCGCTATTGAAGTTTCCCTGCTTTCATCACATCCTCCTGTTGCTGTTGACGCTCTCAACGCACCTCTTCTCGGCGACCATCGCGGGTGAGC